TTAACATGCAATTTTATAGTAAATGTATAGCGAATTAATGTCAGATGAAAGTCAGCATCAGCCTTTTCCTGCTTCTGGTGGGGAAATAAAAAAACACCCAAAAAACATCAAGTAGCACACAAAAAAGCAAGTGCAATAATGTGCTAAATTTCCCTGAAGTTATGCATTCACTCTTAACTAATGGAGGAAAAGAAGAGGCACATATACTAGCCATCCGCTTTTTAAAATCTTGGGACTTCTCTCTGAGGCATTGGGAAGGGATGTGTGTGTGTGGTGTGGGGAAGAGTAATACTGTATAGGACTAGGGATCCTTCTGTCCTGATGGGCAGCAGTCACCAGTGCATGCTGCCAGCCACAAAGGCTAACGGCATCAGCAACAAGAGACATGATCCATGTAATCACTTCCCTTCACTTGGCATTCACTAGACTGCACCCAGTTTTGGGCCCTGCAATACAAGAAGCACACTGACAAATAGGAGCAAGTCCAATCAATGCCCAAGACAGCTGGAGCACGTCCCCTATGACAAGAGGCTGAGTAAGCTGGGCTTGCTTGAACCTAAAGAAGTAGTGGCTTTAAGGGAGGAGCTAACAGCACCCCTGCTTCACCATGAAGACTATCCAGCAGAAAGCAGGTTGCCCAGAGAGGCTGGGCTGCAGTCTCCATCCTTGGAGGTTTTAAAGATGCTATGGGAAAAAGACCTAAGCAACTCAATCTGAATTCCACACAATGACTGCTTTCTGGGGAAGGTTAGGCTCACAGACCTCTCAAGGTCCCTTTCACCCTGAATGAGTCTGATTTGTGTTTGCTGTCTCTATTATTGCGATGCCACTGACAAGCAATACTAGGTGTCAGTGTTTTAGGAACACAGTCATGCCCTGCTCCTTTCTGCTGAGCTCTACTACCATTTCTATTCTCAGCAGTCTCCTCACCGTGAAGTGAAAGTGATTCTATTTATATTCATCTCATAAAATGTTTAAAACATCACAAAAAAAAACCTGCTTACAATATGAAACACAGATCTGAGAAGTAAAAGGAATACCAATGCTGTTCTTTTCCTAAGCAGCAGGTGAGCACAAGTCTTATTTCCATTAAGATGTTAAAGCCATAAGCTTGAATATGTTTTTTATCACTTTGATAACTGTTTTCATGAAGATATGCAAAGGTAAAAGCAGGATTTAGTTTTGATTTACGGCAGCAAGGAAGCCAAGTGAAGAAACATGAAAAATTTCATCATTCTGGTATTTAGTAAGTGCTTGGTAAATTTCTTTCATAGGATCTTGAAACTACTAATTTCACAGATTTTTAAGGGAAGAAAAACACCTGCCAAATAAGTGGGAAGACAACAAAATTTACACTGGAACATATTTCTTAGGCTTTACACAACAGAATACCTGGACACACCCTCTTTGTCATGAAGCTCAGTCATCTATTTTTTTGTGCTTTCCATCCCCAAATCAGAAGACAAATTTTGTTCACTTCACAACAAAAGTTTCTGAAACCAGCTTTTGCCCAGCAAGGAATTTTAAAGGAAAATGAGTGTTTGAGAGAAAAAGCTTCCATTAATAAGTATATACTATTTATTTGTATTGTGGCATAGACAGATCTTGGAAATAATTTTGAAATCTATGCCACCTTAGTAATGATGATAGAACTTTTCATAAAAACCACAGGAAAGTTGACCTTCTAACAAGTCACATACAGTATGAATGAATGATTTCCAAACCTACTAAAATACTGGCATGGATATTAATGGGGTCATCTATTTTACGAAAATGGCAAGATTAAATGTTGACCCTGAAAAGATAGTTAAGGAAAAGACAAGACACTGATGTTTATGGTAACATGACACCTAGTGTTCACTTTCAGGAAGCTTCTGTACTGGAAGGTGCCAAATCCTGAATATCAGTGCCTCAGGACTTGCTTTCCAAAAAAAACCTTAGTAAAAAAATATCAGCATCTCTAACCAAGTACCTAAACCACACAGACAAAGTGAAAAAGCAGGGGAGAAAAGGAACAGAAAATCTGTCTGTGCTGCATTTGCTTTTCTTATTGAGTACACAACCTGGGTAACACCAGAAAAGAGTGTTATCCAAAGAAGCTTCACATTGCCTTTTTTTTTTCTTGGGATTTTTGCTGAAAAAAAAAGTCTACTGATAGGTTTTTTTCTGATTGTGTATGGAATTTATTAGAAAACTGGGTCTACTACATACAACATGCACAAGTTTAAGAGAAAAGTCCCTATTTAAAAAACCCCAAAACTAGTGACAAGGTTTATTTATTTATACAGAGCAACGGACTGTACATTTATTTCTTCGTTTTAAATTCTCGTATATCAACAGTACAAGTGCCAGTAAGGCTATCATTCCCTTTCAAGCTTCTAGCAATACAATGAAAACCACAGTACCTAATGCACACAAGATCAATGAGACCATAAAATCCACGTGAAATCATGGCATAGGCACTCTAACATAATGTGTAACAATTCCTAAGGGATATGACCCCTTGAATATTTCTAAGGGTAAAGAGGGAAAGGACCACATGAGAAATCAGAACAAAAAGTTCAGTACAGATTTTGAAAGCAGATTAATTAGAATCTGACACTGAACGAAACAGGTGTCAGAAATTACACTATGAAAAGACTGGTAAAACATTACAGAAAGATCTGATTGAAACTTCAGTCTACAGAACAAAACATAAACAACTGCACTTCAAAATGTTTATAGATACATTGCATGAAACATTCTCAATATAGCTTGTTAGTGTCAAAAATACACACATGCAAAATATATTAGTATAGTATTTCAAATCTAGCACACTGTCTTTAATTTAAAAGTATGCTGAGTTACTTTCCAGGGAGTAGTATTTAATTTTTTTCTCTCCTAAAGAGAAAAAACAATACAAAAATAACCCAACTATCTTTTAAGTATTAAAACTATCTAGCTACCAGAAGCTCAAACAATTAATTGGACTCAGTATGCAGTGTTTAGTAAATAGCAACTACTGTTATTACTTCTTTTTCCAAGAAAAATGTGTACACAGTCAATACACAGATATTAAAACACACATTTTTCTTTTAGCAAAGTAAACAGACTTAGATCCCAATACTGTCAGATAACTCAAACACTTATCACAGCATTAATTAAAAATCAAATTCTTATTTTTTAATACATTTTGAGGATAATTCTCTGCAGAAGTTTAGTAGGTGGCATCTCTGGGGAGCCAGGCAGTTATAAACTCAGCTAAGTAAGTATCTTCCATAAAATGTCCCTGTATGGCTTTTTTACTCAGACTATATATTCACCCCTTCTTTCAGTCATACCTCTCTACTTAGAATGGTTTGGAAAGTGAGGCTAAATTGTTCTGTGTTTGTTGGAAACAGACAGGTTGCCAAAGCCTTAGATTCATAGCACTATTTCTGATTTAGGGTCAAGATAAACCATATAGCCACAAGCCTTTAGTTCCTACACTTTTGTCCAAAAGGTGAGTTCACCATCCATTGAGCATCTAGTTTGGTGACAAGCAGAAGTCCCATGGGTAACAGCAGGAATGGCATGTCATATTGGCCTTAAACATATATACATTTAACACAATTACAAGAATACCAGTCATAAAATTTTACCTAATCATAGTGATTATCCCTCACCTTTAACGCTGAAGTATTCTGAACTGCCATACAACCTACTCAGCTGTTAACATTTTAGATAATTGCTGCACAAATTATTTTTGCAGTTTATGAACAGGTCTTACAAAATTAAGAGCTGTGAAACAGCTTTAAAATACAGAGAATTCTACAGTACGTTTGATTCCATTATTTCATTTTGAATTATAGAAATTCTAAAAACATAAAGGTTAAATTTTTGCATCTCTTCACACACAGTACAAATACACAATACAAAAGCTGTCTTGGACAAGACAACAGTTTGCTTCTGCAGATTTATGTGCAGTTTACATGCTTACAATCTCAGGTATCCTCTACCCTTTGCTTCTGAACCTACATTTCCAAATATTTACTCTCAGGATTACAGAAGCTCAAACCAGTTATGAATTCACTGTGAAGGGAGAACGTGTCTCCAAGTTAGCCTTCATGCAGCTGAGACACCTTCTCAACAACACTCTGGATAAAACCATGAGGAACATGAACGCAGTTTTCCTTTAAAAATTGCAAGGCTCTGGTCACCGAAATAGCTCAAAGGACAGGACAAAAAAAAAAAATTGAAAGGCTGTTTATTTTAGCAACGGTAAATATTATATATATATAAATATATATATGCATATATACAATGAATGTATTTTATCTGGTGATTGCAAACCACTGCGATGGCGCTTCAACAAAACAACTTTAGATGCCAAAAAGAGCGGCACATTAAACCACAGAGCCTGTAATGATTTTAAAAGGTCCGCAGGGCAGACCTACTACATTTTATATAAACCAGGAGAGCGGAGAACCGCCGTCAGAGGGCATCATTCATGAATGATTTGCCAAATACGCTGCCGTAAAGTAGCAAGTTATTTTGTAACTCCTACACGGGCTTCTCTTAAAAGTACATAAGGTGCTAAATACATCGAAGTAGCTGATCTTTTATTTTTTGTCAGCACGGGCTTGCGGTCCCCGGGAAACTCGACCCTCACGCTGCAGCCTGTCACGGGACCGGGATCAATCCGGACAAGTCCCGCACGGCAGCGCTGCCAGCGCGGTGCCGCCCCGCTCCTCGTCCCCGCGGCCGCTGCGGGGCTGCCGGAGGAGGGCGGGATGGGGGATGGCGGAAGGGTGGGATGGCGGGCATCCCGCCCGAGGGAGCCGCGCGGCAGCTGCCGCCTCGTCCCTCCCGGAGCCCCGCCGCCAGCCCGAGCCCGCACCGCCCCGCTCCGCTCCCCGCTCCCTGCACGCAGGCGCCTCCCTCCCGCCCTCCGGGCAGCGCCGCCGGCGGGACCCTCCCCACCCCCGCCCCGCCGCGGCGAGTTGGCACCGGGACGGGCTGAGGGGAGAGCGGATACTTGCCCAGGTGGGGACGAGGAGGCTGCCGGGCCGCTCGAGCGGTGCTGGAGGAGGCTGCTTCTCCGCCACGCTCATCTCCTCCCATGCAGCTGGCGTGGTCCTCTCAGACGGGCGGCTTGGCGGGACGCGGTGCCCCCGGCACCGACTCCCAAGCGCCCGCCCCTCCCGGCAGCGCCGACGTCCCGGCTCCGCGGGGCTCCGCGGGGCAGGCTGGCTCCGCGCTGGGCTCCGCCGCCCGCGCCCCAGGCGGGGCGGGATGGGACGTGGGGGCTCGCCGGAGGCTCGGAGCCAGGAGGGGAGAGGAAGGCGGCGGCGTGGCGCTGGCTATTTAACTTGGCTCTTCTCCGGGGGAAGGTGCCGCCGCTCCCGCTCCCCTCTGCGGCCGCATCCCGACAGCCGAGCTGTGGGTGCTCCTGCGAGCGCTGCCGCGCTCCTCCCCGACACCGCACGGCCCCGCTCGGCCCGCCCCGCGGGGCTCCCGCCCGGCGCCGCAGCCCGCGGGGCGAGGGCGGGCCGGAAAGTTGTCGGGCGAGGGAGCTCTGCTGGGGCAGCGTGGGCGATGTGGGGCGATGTGGAGTTGAGGGCACTGCCACTCCGAGCGCTGCCCCCCACTGTCCGCGGCCACAGCGGGCAGTCGCGCCTGGCGGCGGGGTCGTAAGACACAACCGCGCACGGCCTCCACTGCAATAAAGCACATGGCCCCTCGCTCGCTGATCTCTGAATCAAAACCAAGAGCAGTTTGGCATCCTTCGAGTATTCTGGGTAGCCTTGGCGTGGGATAACACAGGGCAGTCTATCTTTCCAAGAGAAGTTCCCAACCATGAATATTGCAATCAGATTTTGCTCTTCGGTGCATCCGAGCTGCTAACCATCCAAGTTCCTAACCATGGCCCAGGCTGTCAGTTTTGGGGGAGCTTCTTGTAGGTTAGTTGTGGCAATGTTGAGGCTGATCCTAAGAATAAGAGGTTCATCTGGTCTTTGACGTACTACCTTATTAGTAGACATATTTTTCTACTGTCGGGAGAAAGGGGAAAGCTTTTAACTTTTCCCATCAGTTTACTTAAAAATGGGCAGTTTTTAGCTATATACTACTCTGTTTTCTTATCTAAGTGTAATTTGAAAAGGTATCTCTATTCCCTTTTGAAGCCTCTGCCTTGTCATGCAAAGATGAGAAGCTACCACACACAAATGGATAATTAAAAAAGGGTGACTGGAGCTGGCCAGACTTTTTCTAAAGTTACTTTTAAAGGTTTTCTTTTTTTCCCTCCCTCTAAAGCAGTGGCCACTGCTTTTAACTCTTGGTTAAGTGGGCAAGAAATGTGCATTGTCTTCTACTTGGAGGTAAATCCATATGAAACCCTGCTCCTCACTGCTGTATTTTACCCTAGTATGGACTCTTCCCTCCCTAGGTCTCCCTGTCAAAAAATACCTCATGTTATTTCTGTCTACAGTTTGATCTTCACATGTACTAGAGCCTTGCAGAAGATGGGAAGAGGACAGTTTGCGCTGTAGGATTATGGAGTTTCAGTTGTTCTCAGGGGGTACTTGGGGACCTCCACCTCTGCCTGAGTTTTACCTTTGCTGTGGCTGAGGCCCGAGATTGACATGCAGCAAGGAGTCAGTACCATTCTCCTGAAGAGGTGGAGCTCGTACTCAAGCCGATCTGCCCCAATCCATCCTGTGCATAAAAAGCCATTTATGTCACTCCATGTCTGTAGAAAATTGTGTGACAACACCCTGGCAATGTGAAATGTTCAAAGAGATGAGATTGGGCCACTGCCACTGCCTAACATGACCATACAAACTTCTGTGCATGTGGAGTGTGTTGACGCTGTGAGAGGTATAAGCCTTTCTGCTTAAGGTTAAAGACAAAGAAAGCAAAGCCACACAGATGAGCTGCAACCTGTTTGGAGATGGATTGCTCCGAGCTCCATTGACTGGGAGTTGCCAGGAATCAGCAAACACCAGCAGCAGTCCTGATGAGTATTTGTTAGTGTGGACAATGGTTTTGCTGTGACTACTAAATTATCACATTTAGTGTTGCTTCTCATGGTTTTTCTTCATGGTTTCCCTTCATAAATGTGGTGCATAAGTGGGGATTTAAAAGTGGAGATACAAGTTAATGTAAATACAAAATAAATAGCATAACAGTATGATAGTGTACAGGGAATTTATATGGGAAATGACTTCCAGAGATAAGCAGAATAGAAAGACCTTACTTTCTGGAATTTTTCTATTTACTTACAATTTGTACTTTTAAAACTTAAAAATCCTTGTCAAAGCCTTGTACAAAATATATGACTTCCTGAACAGCTTATCTAAACATTGACACCTACATGAATGATTTATGGAATTCACGAAAAACTGGATAGAATCAGACGGCTAATGAACTATTAATGCTAAGTTCTTCATGGAATTAATGAGTACACATCACTGAATTATATTTTCCTATTGTATTGCTGTACTGAACGTGGGTACATATAATTTGGGGGAGGATTAGGAAAAATATTAATTACTTTGAACATAATTTGAGCTAAGCCAGTTTGTGATAGTCTCATCTAATACTTTTCTTTATTTCAAGGGATGATCAGGTTTAATAGCTTAAGAAATGTATGAGCTTTTTAGGAGTTGATACCTTGTTCAGTTTGTTACTAGTGGAAAGCTTATATGTGTTTTTCCCTCTATTGTGTTTGTATTTTTTCAGTTTCACTGTGTCTCTGATCCTGCAAAAGGTTTTGCTTTTGCCATTTCTGAAATAAAGCAAATTGGAAGGCGGCTGTCAAGTAGCTATTTTAGTGATGACAGTTTTTATTTCTCTGGATTACATTAAATCCTATAATTTGGAATAAGGGAACTATATGAAAACTTCTAACCCATGAGATTTCAGAAAAATCAACAAAATATCAAGAAAGTAATCATTCAAAGAGATAAAGGTTCAAGAGAATGTGGAATGTTCAAGGGAATGTTTTGGGTAATCATGATTTTAAGTCAAACCTGTGATTTTAGGATGTTACTTTAGATAATGGTCAGGAAGTTTCATAAAGATCTGACTTGGCTGACAACAGGAAAATTGCAAAGGGTGCAAAAGATTTTAATAAAATCAGCATGCATGAAGACAGATGCAAACTGCTGAATCTGGAAAATATCGTATTACAGACCTGTCTTTACTTCCTTCTCTTTTCTTGCACACGGTTGCATTTGTACATACAAACACACACACACAGATGATACTTAGAGAATAGAAACAGGAGACTATTAGCACTAAAACAATAAATAATTTATTTTACTAAGCCAACTAGATGTCAAGGTTAAAGGCTTTTTCAAGAGAAGTGGATGAAAGAGTATAATTTGTTTTTCCAGGAGATGTAGGTATGCAGGCATTACAAACATGTCTCTGTCTACACAAAAACATTCGCAAAGCTAGTGAAGGAATTGGTTGTCTTTATATAAACTCCAGTTTGCAGATGCAGTTTTACTTTTCAGACATTAATATTTCCTGTATTCATCAGGAAAAAGGCCTTTTTGTAAAATTTAAGTGCTTTGTGAACTTCATTTTATTTAGTGTTTTACTACCAAAACAAATGCTCCTCCATTTAGTTTTGTATTGTGGGGTAAGATCAAAGCTATGGGGAAGGAATGCAAGTTAGAAGTTTCTGACTTGGAAGTTGTATGAAAGGCATGGTGAAAATGCCACATCCTAAGGAAATTGGTGCCTGTCTTGAGGAGGATGCTGCCATTTAGCCACTGGTATCTGCCAATTTAGGAGGAGTCAGGAAGACACTAGCATGCTGACAATCAACATTAGATCCCTATCTCAATCTGCTCTCTGTTTGCCACAAGCTTATGAGTGAGGGGCAAATTAAGGGAATAACAACTAGACAGTCTATCAGAGGACAGTAATGTTCCAGAGGCTGCTTAAAATATGCACTGATAAATCACTAAAATTTCACAAGTATGTTCTTTTGCTTCAAAAGACCAACACTTCCTTGCTTTTATGAATCTACAATATACATGAAATACCCTGTAACTCGCTGTCCCAGAAATTTACTCAATTCATTGCATGGAGTAAGAAACTGCAACTATACATACAGCAATAGCAAACTGGAAAGAGACAGTAAAATTGTCTGTAACATCAAATGAAAGCAAGAGACTGCTGTATTTCAAACAAACAAACAAAAACTTTCCTTGAACAATTGTTCATTGAGAAAGGGTGATTGAAATAAGCATCTCATGCTTTCAGGACAGACAGTTTGAGCAACGCGTGGGAGAGACGGTTTAAAAGTTTGCTGAACTGTCACCACTCCTGACCCCTTTGTTGAGGCTTAGGTACACCTTAGCAAGGCACCTTGCTACCAAAGTAAAGGATTGGTTAGGGCAAACCAGTGCTATTTTGCCTGTCACTGGAATGAGTACTGACTGCATCAATCAGGAGTTCAGCATCCCAAGCTGTTCATGAGAGCAAGTCCTCTTTGCTACCCTGAGCAAGTTATTATGAAAGACGATCAAAAATGGGTAACTGAGTGACTGGACATCTGAATGATGTATTCCCAGTGGGTGTTTACAGAGGGATAGTGAACTGATCAGTATGTATTCTTCAAAATCAGACAGTTTTGATAACACTGAAAACATCAATGTGGACTTCCAGTGCTTATCACCAGCTGAGGAAAAGAAGCAAGTAGCAAGTGGCAAGCAATTGGCGAAATGGCACTGTGGAACCACGTAGGATTTTAGTACTGCTTCTTGCAGCTGCTGATAAAATACTCATTCTTAAGTGCTGCCTTTTTTCACTTGCTTGTTCTTGAAATCTGCCTTGTATTACCAAACGGAGGAGCTGATGTTCTGCAAACTGGAGTATTTTGTGTGAGCCGGTTCTCTACTAGACAGCAGCATGCCAAGGTGTTCTGTGGAAGCTGCCAGTATGCAAGAGAGAATATGGAATTTTATGACCAAAGAAAGCACAAACAAGTACTCCGCTTGTGAGAGGGGGAAGAGATGAGTTCTGGGAACCTGTCACTACTCAGTTTTATCCAGAAATTGCTTAGCATCAAAGTAGTTGCTGGTTCTGGAAACAGACACTAGAATGTAGAAATTCCTCCTTCTTGGAAA